TTGATTTATGCTGGGCTACTCATCATCGTAAATCAAAGTCAATAGAACTCTCTAAAATTATCAAGTAAGATCTAGACAGTTGTAATAAAAGTATTGTTAGGATCCTTGCAAATAGCGATTATTTTTCGATCGCTTTTATTTTTTATTGCTGTGATCAATTATTTATTAAAGCTAAGGATTTCTTTAAAAATTTTTTGTTATCCATACATATTTTATCTGACGCTAAACAACAATTCTCTATTTCTAAATTGTCGGTAGTAATTTACGATGCATGCAGAGTTGGAGGGCATTAATTTTAAACCCAGGTCTAATTTGGATAAGTCAAAAAAATTTCAAACGCATCTTAATCCTTTTGAACCATAATGAATAATTACTATAAATTTATTCTTTCGATTTAAATTCTTAGATCCAGATGTAGAACGTGAAACATTTTCAATTGAAATTCTACAGCATGAACTTGAGAATTATACTAGAGTGATAAGTGATGAGAATGTGGATGTGCAATATAAGAGTTACAAGTTACAATGAAAATAGAATATTACCCTTATTATCCTTATAATTGATACAACACAATAATATCTTAGTTATGAAAGTTAAAGTCTTAAGGATATCGAAAATTGAACAGTGTCAAAGCATACATTTTTCCGTTATTTGTTAAAACATGCATATTAATTTGTTTTATTTTGTTCATGCACATAATGCGAGAGTGAATTCGGATGGCTTTTTTTGATATGATGAAAATGTCATAATTAAACTTTCAAATATTTTTTGAAAATGGTTTTGTTTATTTGATATTTTAAAAATTGAATATTAACATGACATTAAAGAAAATTACATATATAGACGCACTGAAAAACATCACTTGATTCAAAAAATATATTTTCTTCGAACTTTCACTCGTCTTCTATGATATTGTTTTATTAATTTTTTTTTTTTTTTTTTTTCAAGAAATTAACACTTAAATCAAGACAATATAACTCTTGGTAATGGAAAGTTCTTCAGATTATGTTACTCTAATGAAACACTCTTCTGTTTTTAGACAACATAAACACATAGTTCATCTCAGACTTTTTTTTCGAGATTTAAAATAACCGCGGTACTATTTTATTTCAAGAATACCGTTTAAACTAAAAATTTCCGATTTTCTGCTGCTTTTTATTCCATGAATAAAGTCTCAAATACTTTTAAGAATATATTGAAGAGAAAAATTTTTCATTTTTTTTTTTTTGTATTTTGAGTGAAGGAGCTAGTTTTTGAACCAAAGATATAAAGTTCTTTGAAGAAAAAAAATTATTGTTAGTTTCCAAGAATTCGTTCTTGAATTAAGAATTTAATTGTATTGATCGAAAATAATACTCTCTTCAATCGGGTTTTGTGTACAGACCATGGATTTATTTATTTATTATTATTGTTGTTGTTATTATTTTTATTATTAATTATTAGCAGTAGTATTTATAAGCCAAACAATTTTATTTTATTTATTTTTTTTATTTATTTCAATAAAGAAAAAAGGTTGTGCTACTGTTAAAGTTAATTAACTATTAATTATCCAGTGAATTAAATGCTACTGGAGGTATCAATTTAAAAAGTGAATTAAAAGGTGAACTAGTTATTTGGAGCGCTCATTATTTTACTCTGTATTTTTTTTTTTTTTTTCGATGATAGTTATCGACCCAAAATAATAGTCTCTTCAGCCAAGATGACTAGATTCAAGGCCATAAACTGTTGAATCAAGACAACCGATTGTGTTCAAAATGAAATTTTTAAGAAGAATATTTATTTTGATTTAAGATAGTTTTTCAGTGCCAGTAAAGATAATAGTAAAATTAAGGAATTAACGATTCTAATGTTTACATGCTGAGAAATTAATGATAATGATTGTCATCGAAGCGATTTTTGTTAATTGTTTAAGCGAGAGTTAACGAAGTGAACTTCCAGCCGTCAGTTCGGTCTGATAATAACCATCATCATAAAAATTTAAAGGCGTGTAAAATAGATATTTATTAGAGTAGAGATTTTTGAGTGTAATTGTATTTATTGTAATATTTAAGATTTAAGACTAGAGTATCTTGTTATTTTATAGTTATTATTCTGAATAAAAGAGCAAAAATATTAAATATTAGATCTTTGATTGTTTTCAGTGAATTCTATTAAAAACACAGCGCTTTAATAGGAGCAAGTTTTATTGCTTGAATTATTAATATTTATTGCTTCTAGTATACTGATATTGACTATATAGATGTAGGTAGGATAGATTTTATATTAGATAATTTTCGATGGTTACGACGAAGAAGCTAAAAGAAATGATTCATATGTGACTATTTATTAGAAGTCTAAAATACTTTATCAAAATAATAAAAACAACATTTAGTTGTTAGACAGAACATAAATTTTAATGTATCACAATTATATAATATTATCATTTTAAGCTTGTAACACACATGGATTTCATTTATTTTTGCTATAAATTTTACAAATTTATTAAAAAATAAATAAATGAGCATGTGCTAAATTGTTACGATATTTAAAACTCGCGTTCAATCGTGATTAAAACTTTTTTAACTTTTCTATCAGTTTTTTTAAAATCACACAAAATATAACAACTCTTACTAGCTATATTTAACTTTTATATTTTGTATAATAAAAATATTAAATATTGTATAAATTAATTTTTGTGCGCTAAAAATGATTTCAAGTGTATATGTAAATAAGGGACGTTTATGTAATTTAGGTATATGAGATCATCAACTTCTAAAATCTCAAACGTAGAGATTTTACTTAACATCTGAGTTTCATTGAAGGGAATTCAAGTCCAGAGACAAATTTTTGGCGTCTCTTCAAGTTCGAGAAAAAAAAATAAAAAAAAAAATTTTCTGCCCTCCGGCCGGAAAGTGGCAACTTTCTGGCCGCTGCGCTAAACAAACTTGCCACGTTCCGGCTACGTCGAGCAGAAAAATAGTATACACACCTTGGCCAGTAAAAAGTAAAGCCTCAGACCACATGTTTGTCAACCTCGGCTTCGCCTCAGCCAACAATTACATGTGGTCTGAGACTTTTCTTATTTTACTGGCCTAGGTATGTAATATACTATTTATTATCTAATTTTTCTTTACCAAATATTAAGTGAAATTTTATAGACTATACAAAAAATTAAAAAAGAATCAAGCTATTAAAACAAGGTATATAAAAAGAATGCGATTCATTTTATCGGAAACAAAAAAAAATTTTTGGTAATTATGTAGAAGTGGGGCTCTACATATTTTAGATAAAATTGAAATAAAATAAAAAATCGAAAAATTGATCTTTTTGAATATTTTTTTGTGAAGAAAAAACATCAAATTATTTAATTTTCATACTTTTTATCATTTTTATCATAAATTCGCCGTGGAGAAGAACAATTTGAAAAAAAAAATGTTCAAAAAAGATCAATTTTCTGATTTATTACTTTCAAAAATAAGTGGAGCCCCACTTCTGCATTATTACCATAATTTTCAAAAGTAGGAAGTTATAGATTTCGGTCCGATTTTCAGAATGCGAGTTTTCATCAGATTTCCACGTTTTGAGGTCCTAGGAAGCCGTTGCGATTATTTTCGGCTGGACGTCCGGCCGCGCGCGCGCACGGGTGTGTGTGTGTGTGTGTGTGTGTGTGTGTGTGTGTGTGTGTGTGTGTGTGTGTGTGTGTGTGTGTGTGTGTGTGTGTGTGTGTATGAATGTAAATAAAATTTTGTCGTACGATATCTTGAGAACGAATCAACCGATCAAGATGAACGACACGGCGTTTGAAAGTATTTATTGAAACTTCGAGCTAATTATACTTCAGAAGCAATCGGTCAGGCCGTTTCAAAGATATTCAAAAAATAAAAACCAAAGAAAAATTTTTATTAAGTTTTTTCGAAATAACTTTTAAATTTTTGAGCTCTGAAAGTGTTATTTCAAATTTTTTTTCATGGTTTTAAATAAAAACCTTTTGCAAAATCTGGTAGGGAGGATTAATAAAAGATAATGTAAAAAAAATTTGTACTAAATTTCAAGTAAATTGATTCATTAGAACTTGATTTTATATCAATAACCGTGTTGAATAAAATAGTTCCGGAAAAACGTGCTTAAATGTTTGATGTTTTTTTTTTAGTTTTTTAAGTACTCTGAAAATGACAATAAATATCTGATAAAAAAAGATGGCAAATATATTTTTGTTTTTTTTTTTTTCTATGGACGTGGAGGAACATCCAAAATTTATTTCCTTCAGACTAGAATACTTCCTTGAAACTCACTATTTGGATAGTAATAAGTTTTAAAAATGTCTTTTACATTTTTACGGTAGTTAATCATTCAATTAAACGCTTTAGATATATTTTATTGGTAGGCCGACCATTTGCAGATAACTGTTTCTAATGGTAATGATATTCATTATTTTTTTACTCATCTCATATAGTTTTTCTCAAACCTTATTGCATAGTTAATTATTTTCATTTATTCTTATCAATTTCATAGACTATTCAAATTTTCCAGAAAAAAAAAACAAAAAAGAAACATTTTGGTTATTCAAAATATAACATCTCTGTGTATAGTATAAATACTTAAGTTAGCAACAATTTATATTTCATTATTGAGTTGCCAGTGCATAATCTTTTTTAAGATTGTTATTTTTCATTATTTTAACTGGCATTCTTATTTTTCTGATTAACATTATTGAGCTTTGTCAATTATACAAGAGTTAGTTAAAAAAAATCTCAATTTAAACGATTCATATTATAACTGGTAGAATTAAGCAAAATAAAAAATATTATTCAATTGAATCTCATATAAATAGAGATTTATAGTTGAAATATTTTTCAAAAATAGTCATAATAGTAGCGTTAGAAAAAAAAATAATAATAATGTCAATGATAAAGTTAAAAGAATCTTATAAAACTTAAATTTGCTTGCAAAATCAGTATAAGTTAAAATATTTTTAAAAATGATTATCATTATTTAACTTTCCAAGTTAGAAACTATTTTTATGCTGGATCCCCGCCACCAAGAGATAGAGCTTGAACGATTCTCGGATCTGCTTTGCTACCTTCTCGAAACTCGTCAAGAGTAAGTTTATCATCGTGATTTTTGTCCATTTGATCGAATATTTTATCGACCCTTTTCTGAGGTGTATTTTCATCTTCTGCATGCAGTTGTTGACCCTGAAAATACAAAATTTTTCTTTAAAGATGTTTTTACTACAATATTTTAGAAGAAAATTCGTTCATAAGTTCAAGAGAGCAATAATCATAAGGCATCAATTTGAACTAAATATGTAATGCCATTTTATGAAATGAGATAATGAAAAGAATTGTTTTTAGGAGATTTCATAGAAATTTAGATGCTGAGAAATTTATGGTAATGATTATCATCAATATTATAATATTTACAATATTGATATCAATATTTACAACACAAGACAGTAACAGTTACCATAATCAATGAAAAAAAAAAAAAAACTATAGTAACTATCACCATCAATAGATGATATTTATTACCAACTTGCATTGAAAATATTATTAAGACTCGATTCTATTTTTCACTTTACACTAATGCTAAAAAATATTATTTTGCAAGTTTAAGCGTTGGATCCTCCTGGACATGAGTAATTTTTCTACTTCCTATTGTATGTTCAACATGCGTACAAAAATGTAATTTACAAGATAATTTGATATTTATTTATGCAAACATTATGGACTATCATCTGCAATTATCGAATTGCGTGGGCTTAGCTATTTGTATTTGTAATTATGTGCTTCAATCTTCTGAGATTTTGAAGAAGCAATAATTAAAGCGCGTAAATGAAATTTCACACTTTCACTTCATTTTTTCCAAATAACTTTCGAATGCAATTACTTATTCAATTTCTGTAAAAAGCTGATAGTTTTAATGAACTTTTACTATTGCATTCGTTTTGACGGATACATTAGTATCTTATTAAATATTCTTTCACAAAAATTCAATACAGTATTCTGAATTATGTAGTTAAATCTGAGAAAACATTATAATTGTTCAAAAAGTCAGAAAATATTGTAAATAAATGAATTATAGAAAAACAAAATTTATAAAACATGGAGGCATTAATGTTGTAAATAAATGCTTATAAACATTTTTCGTTTTGTAATTTTTTGTATCTATTAATGAAATCTACTTCCATTTCGACTACCGAATGGCTTTTTTTATCGTCTTTATAACTACAACTTTTACCCCTTACTTGGTTCGCGAGAATATTTATGAAAATTTTTAAATTAAGAAAACGTTAAATTTTGAAAAATTATTTTTTTTCTTTTTTTTTTTTTTTATCAAAAACGGCAAAAATTTGAATGCGAAGCGTTTAAGGTAGAACCCTCGCGACTTCCGTAGTCAAAAGTTTATGCTAGATTGTACGGTATATATACTTGAGAGATTATTGACAAGCCTAAAACTTTTTGCTGTTCATGTACTTATTTTAGCCAATCACGAACGAGAAACTGATCATTTGAAAAGTCTGGCAACACTGCATGAGAGTTAAGATATTTTATAGTGGTTATATACTATAGTGTTTTGGACCAGCTGTAGACTAACCTTTGTTTTGATACATGCGTTTATTTATTAATTTACATACATTTATTCGGAAATATAAAAACAATGTCTAAAAAATTATTGTCTGAGAAAAAATAATTGAGAACCCGAGAAAAAATGTTTCTATATAATCATATATAATTGTATATAATCATATATGATTATATATGAATATATATGGAATCACATATATAATTATATAGAATTATATATAATCATACATGATTATATATGGAATTGTGTATGAGGTTATATATAATCATATATAATTATATATGACTATATATGGAGCGATATACAACCATGCAGGATTATATATAGTTCCATATACAAATATATATAAGTATATAAAATTATATATAATCATACATGATTATATATGGAATTGTATATGAGGTTATATATAATCATATATAATTATATATGACTATATATAGAGCAATATACAGCCAAGCAAGATTATATATAATTATATATAGTTATATATAATCATACATGATTATATATGGAATTGTATATGAAGTCATATATAATCATATACAATTATATATGACTATATATAGAGCAACATACAGCCAAGCAAGATTATATATAATCATATATAATTATACATAACTATATATGGAGCTATACACAGCCATGCAAGATTATATATAATCATACATGATTATAAATGGAATTGTATATGAGGTCATATTTTTTCTCGGGATATTGATTTTTTTTGAATTTTTTTTTTTTTTTTTTTTTTCAAAAAAATCAGTAATTAAATTTTTTGTGTTGATTATTAGCTGATTTTAAATTTTAGTATTTTTGTTATTATTTCATCTGACTATTATTTTTATAAATATAAAAAATACTTATTTTTAAAAAATAATCATTGTTATTTTTTTTAAATAAATAAAATTAATAACTATATTGATATACCTAACGCAAATTAAACTTTTCAAATTTTTCAGCGCATGCGCGTCACATATTTTTTTCGCGGCTCACAAAATTTGTGTTGTTGCCACAGCTTTATTAACGTATCCCTTCCTCGGCTAAAGTCTGGTGAATTTTTCATTACTTATTAACAAATATCTTTGGAACTGTGTGGTAATTATCAATGAAATTATTTTTAAAAAATTGTTTAATTGTTAGTTAACGTTACTCTAGTTTTTTAAAAGAATCCTAAGAAAAGTTTTTGAGATATAAAAATGTTTGTAGGTAAACTTTTCGATATCCCGTAAACCGCAATGTATAAGAGCGTTCAAAACTCAAACTTTAAAATTAAATATCTCTGAAACTAGATGGTCAAAAATTTTCAAATTGCGCCAATCGACGCAGAATTATGTGAATATTAATCTGCCAAAATTTAAAAAAAATCCTAAGAAAACGACTCGCGAGGGTACTACCTTAAGAATGCTTGCAGTCGTCAAAAAATGAAAACTCGTTGAATTTAACTTTCCATTCGTTCATAAATTAATCCACTCTTATAATTTAGATGGAAAATATGAAAATATATCATGTAAGCAAATTATTCGTAACATGAGTGGTCAAATATATCATAAGCATGAAAATATAGATAATTCCATATCAACATTCACACGCGCGCAACGCACACTCACGCATAAAAACGATTTTGTTGAAATAACAAAAGACGGGATAACTGAAAAAAGGCCATTCGGCAGTCGAAATGAAAGTAGATTTTTCAAATAAAGAAAATTGATTTTTAGTAAAATAATATAATATCACTAATAATGAATAACTTAATTCATCAATAAAAACAAAATTCAATAATAAATTTAAAACGATTTAGAACAAATTTTGGAAAAAAAATTATTTTGTGAAGAAAAAGTTTCTCAAATATTTACCAAAGAATTGCAAAGATGATAAGATTTGAATTATGAATGTCCAAATTTTAAGTAATTGCTTAGGAATAACAGTTTCCCAAGTTAAACAGAATTTTGATACCGGATAGAATTTTAATTGAAGAGAACAATGTTTAGAACTAATTTGTGACATATTTACTGACAAACTACCCGAAAACATCACACGAAAGACTGATCAATATCGTAATTATTGAATTTGTATCATGATTAAGCTATGATGCTGACAATAATTCTAAAACGGCTGTAACAGTAAAACTGTTTCATTAAACTAACTCTGAAATGAGTAATATTGAGGCTATTACCACTTCTGAGTAGTGAAAATTGAAGCTTATTAAAAGAGCTTTACGATGCATTTTACCGATTTTTAATATCTTGTTTAGTTCAGTAATTATTCCAAGTTGAAGTAGTAAAAACATCAATTTTTACGATTTTCAAAATTTCAAAATTCTGTCATTTTCAAATTACTCGCCCGATTAAGCTCATCTTCGAACTTAACCTTGGTCTTGATCGATAGATAGAGCATGCTGAGTTTGAGAAGCATCGGTTATAAATTGAAAACGCTATCGTACTGACAAGCCGCATTTTATCGTATATATATATATATATATATATATATATATATATATATATATATATATATATATAAA